CTATTTGCGGACACTCTAGTCCGTAGCGGGAGATGTGCAATGCTCGCAAGTGCTTTATCAATATAATATAACCGTATCGCTCTACAAAAAATGTTGCCGATTATAATCACCGACACAGATATCGCTCACCGAATCGACCCGCAAATACCAAGCGCGACCGAATACGAAAAACAGACGAGGAGTTAATAACCGAGGTTATCGAGTGAAACCGAGAAAAAGGCACGGATCACATCGCGATGTCGCGTGATAAAATGGCGATTCGCGCGGTAAAAGAAAAATATACATTTGATAAAATATAATTTAGCAGCACGTTTCGATGGTTGAAATGGCACGTAAAATTCCACACGCGCGTACTAATGTACCTATTATCCAGCCAAATGCAGTAGTCACTGCTGAATTTGGTCCATGTTGCACTTCCACGCGAAAAGGTAATTTTTTTCGAAACGTCCATCTCGTCACATTTTAACTTTCGACTCACTCGTTAATTAATTTGCTGTTTGCAGTGCACGTTATTATTCCACGCTGCTCGCAATTTTTTCATCCGCGAGCGAATCTGCTAATAACGCCGCATCGAGAAACACAGCAACAAAAATGTTATCCCATCAAATGAGAGTTTTCAATCTGCGTGATAAGTTTGATAGTGTATTGTTCTCATAATATATGAAGACGAACAATTTTTTTAATTAATTTCGCTTCGACGATATGCTCAGGTTTTATCGGACATTCTACATAATAATGCGTCGAGTGACATGTGACAATAAAGAAGGGTATTTTAAAATCTGAAAAAGAAAAATAAGGCATGTCACAGATGAATAAGTAGTACTAAAATGGACTTACTTGCTTGGTTCTTGTTTTTTTAAGAACCACTGTATGTGGTACTGTCAATGATGGACGTGTCATGCAATTTTTCAACACAATAATTAAAAAACAATTAAAAAAATTACCTGGCAAGATATATATATATTTAGGAAATAAAACTAGACGAAAAATGTGTCACAGTGTCGCAGATAATTGTTCTATACTTGCACACATATCGCCTCTGCACGAGAAAAGTGACAAATGAAAAATAGCAATTTTACAGAACTATTTTAAACCTTCAATCTGCATGCACACAGCTACAACCAAGCCGTAACCTGCTAAATTATTATATTCTCCCTATTTCTCCATAATGTAAGACTCGTATTTTTCTTTTAAACATTCCTTCTCTTTACTATCACTATTTATTAACAGTATACAATCTTTGCACTGGTCCTTTTCAGATGAAATTTTCGAAACTACACTTATAATGCTTTTCCGAATAAAAGTATGTTTTCAAGTTAATAAAATTGTATAAACGCCAAAACACATGTTTTTTTTTACTTGCGTCACTTTTCTCGTGCAAAAGAAATATATTTTATCAATTCGTATCAATATTCCTCAACACAATTGAGAAACATTTAGAATTCATATAATTAAAGCAATGAGGGTCAATGTACGTAAATCCAGTTAGCTGCAATATTTCTTTTCCTTCCTATCCGATGCAATTATTTCTCGCTTGTTAGATCGGAACAAAAGCTTTCGTAGGAGATATCTCTTATTATTCCGTTACACAACAAATGCATCCCCGGAAATTGTATTTCGCTCTACGAGATCGTGGATATCAGCGTGTTACCGCGATAACGCGTAACTAACATCGTAAATATCCGACGGGCATCGCACGTGGAAAGTGAAATCAACGAGATGCGCAGTGTTACAGGTCAACGCTCCTCCTACGCGTGCACGGATAGAAAGATCCCGTCGCGATGTACAAGTCCCAGGTCGCAGGTGTAATGGCATACAGGAAGAGGTGCATAATGACACGGTGTCGCGCGTCTGTACAACGCGACATGACCTTATCTCGCGGAAAGTGTTGGTCCGACTTTTACACGCGTACACGCCGCGGCACCGCGACGCGATTGTGTCAGCTTCAACTTTTGAAGCTGTTCAAGTACACGCGCGAGCATGGCTTCTACACGTTCGTTAGTACAATAACTTGAAATTGGAAATATCATTCTGTAAAACGTGAAGATGAAAGGAACAGTGTTTATTGTAGACAAACTAAAAAGTACGACGAGACTGAAAGGATAATGAAAAAGTGTCAAGTACACATTGAGCCAGGCTGTTACCAAAACTGACAGTGCGGTTTAACTTCGCTAAACTGTAAACCACTTTAATATTTACCGCAATTGTCATACTCGACGACGCGAATGAAAGCATATTGCAATATTTACGCGGGGACTGACTAGGTTGAAAAATCTTTTGTGCGTAACTAAAACCTTGTTTACAGATGAATACACGTCCAAGGAACAAGACGCGCGGTTAATGCAACGTAGAAACTTACGAGGGCCCGACACTCCGAAAGTTTCGCCGAGTGCCACGGAGGCATTTAACAACTGCTGAACTTTCAGTCTCGAAAGTTAAAAGTTGCTCTGTCGCCGCGGTCGGTACTTTAAACTGAATCTTATGCAATCCACGTCATCGCCGTGTGAAATGACACACTTCGGATGTCCGCCCTCGGCTTTTGATCATTTCTGCCCGAGCTACTCCAATCTCTCCTCCGCTGCCATTGCTCGATTATCTTTCGTGTCGTATAAAAACCTGCACGTTGCACGTTCGTTCTCACAGCATCCTAACAATGGACCCCTTAAATCCTTCTACTGCGCGAAGCGGTAGTGAAATTTCGGTATAATGACTCGAGTGCATCGCGCACTTATCTGGATTGCGCTTCCGCTCCACGTAACGTATTCCCGTACACGCACGGCGCTAAGAACCGCGCTAAGAAATCTTGGCGAGCTCAGCGGAGCGATGGAAATCCTATCCTACCATACACAACTGGCGTAATGCGACGGTATTCCAGGCGGGCTACCACGGGCCATCGCGAATCGTTAATATATGCATCATCCTAGGGACATAATTATACGTTCGCGACAGCAAAACACGAGAGAAGAGGGAGAAAGAGAAAGAGAACATCGCTTTATATACGCGCCGCATCAAACTTGGAGAACAGGTCAATGGTCTGTGAATCGCCGAGAAGATAGGAGTTCGCAATAGTCGTTTCGTAACGGTTACGTCGCCGCGTTGCACTTCATGACACGCCGGTACGCCGGGATATCCGATGATCGCGAGAACGGAAACGCTTTTTGAGAATATGCGAGTATCGAAACGCGACGTAACGCGTTCTGCAGTGCGCTCGGTGCGCGAGCGAAACGATTGTTTCAGAAATTGTCGCTGGATTGAGATGGCTCGCGCTGACGTAGGATTATTTGCTTTCATAATAATGGGCGAGAAAGACAGTAAGAACAATTGCTTTACAAGCCACTAGACACTTGCCGTTTGCGCAACGATAATCCTGTATCAAAATAGATGACTCGATGCAATTGCGGGGACAACTTAAAGGAAGAAGAACGAACTAAAAAGAGGAACAACTTGACGTGGAACAAAACTTTATTCACTGATTACAAGTCTCGTAATTTCCGTCGCGAACGTATAAACGAGAGAAACGCTAACGTACTTTTATTTATAATGAGAATTGAATTCAAGCTTTTGCTTCCAAGTAAAACGTGTCGTAACGTTGTACGATTCAAGTGAAACGATCGTTTGTTAATGTATAAGTACCACGCTATGCACGCAAAGCTAATAGCGATGTCATACGCTGTTCCAATATCGTGTCTCACATTAGCTACTACGGAATCGCCATTTGGAGCAGTAACGATACCTCTGCTTATCATGTTTCCAGCTATTACAGCCTTAACGCATTACCTTCCGCAGTTGCGGGAGAAGACACTAAGGGATGCAGTAGAGATTATCTGCAACGTCCCTAAATTTCTGTAGTGGTATCTCGAGAAGTAACCGGGGGGGTAAGAGTATCAGTACTTAGCAGAAAATAATACAAATAATAATAACTGTGCAAAATTCGCCGTCCGGGGTTCTATTACCGTAGCTCTTGCGAAGACATTATCTGGCAATATCAAAACTCGCGACGTAGTTTTCACGCTTAAACGATACGCCTCTCACGATTCGAGTAGTACCCCTCGGAAACGGCAAACGCGATCGTATATTCGCAAGTGTAAATGTTTAAGTAGCGCCTTACGACGTTACAGTAATTTTCACACGGATTAGAAATAACGTCGACAAGAGGCGGCGGCAATTACAGGATAGAAACTAACCCGCCAGAGAGGTGAATTGTACTGCCATTTTCACGACGTGAGCAGGCGACAGGTAACCTGGCAGCATCGTACAGTAACGAAAGTATTACGCGATGGTCGAGCTAATTTCTGCCACCATTTGAAAATTAAACGGCAGAGAAAATATTTATGAGCACTTTACTAAATTAGCTTCGCGTAAAAGATCCCATTGTGCGTTGTATAAAATACATAGCGGATTGGACACACCCACTATAAGCGTGACGACAAGACGACGCGACGTCCGTAAAAACCGTATTTATTTGAGTGAGTTGTGGACGCGTAGGCGCGCGCGGAAGATTAATTATTACGAGTAGAAGAAATTACTTAGTATATTAACCTACTTACACGTCGAATTCTTTTATCCACCGAGCGGGAAAATTATTCCTCCGCGACTATAATCTTGTTACAATCCAAGAGATTAGAGGATCGTACTGGAATATACTGAGAAATTTGCCTTATTTCATAGATATTGACGACAATTGCCAATTCGTTTTTCACGCAATGTATAAGAGGGAAAATTATTAAATGCTCTCTATCTTTTATTTTAATATCTTCATGAATTTTCCACGTCGCACGGAATCGGAAGCATCCAAATTCGCGGATAAATCAAATTAGAGCTGAACATTCCTCTATTTTCGATTGCTCGCAGGAGATTGCCGCTTAAGATAGTTAGCGGCAATTCGCTGTGCTGCGAGGTGAACTCGATTTGTACCCCGATATAGTCGATCCGTAACTCCGTAATTTCATGTCGACAAATACCGTTGAATTTCGTGAAAACACGTATGTGTACGGACTCACCTAAAGACGCTCTCGTCGTAAGATAGCAGAATGCGTACTGGCTGGCTGATGCTACGTTTCTTTACTTCGTGCGCTGGCTCGATGTGTACGCCGTGAATTATCTGGAAAACAAAGGCGGAATTTGATTAGAGTTTGCGTAAAATACCAGAAATACCATGTAAAATGCCGCGCAACTTAAGAGCTTTGTTCGTAGTTTATTAATAAATATATTAATAACGTAAATCGTAAAGTAATGCAAAGCAGTTAAAATTGCGATAGTGCTTTCAGTATAATTGCATTTACGCCATTTGCATGAATAGTGGAATAAAAACAGTGCTGAATGCGTCATAGGTTAGAACAAGACAATTTCGCTCAGTTAAAAAACATTCGGATAAAACATTTTTAAGAACAAAAAAGCAAAAACTCATAACTCGAAAAGTCTCTCTATCTTAAAATTGAAAAGGTCCTCCCTGTCTTGAAATTCTTTTCTTTAACTGAGCGAAATAGCTCCGGTCTATCCCATATCTGGAATCATAGTGACCCAAGTTTTTGTATGAAATTTCATTAATATTTTTCTAAATGATATATATGTTACCACGAGAAATTTGTCTAGTGTATTATTGTGTCACTGATACGGAGTTATTTTTATTCATGATCAACTAACTGTTTGTATAACTGATTTTGATACCGTCAGTTTACTTTTACAAATTGCTATTATGCTGAAATTAATCCAGTAACGTAAAAAATACATAGTAAAAATACATAAAAAAATAACGTAAATGTAACACAAATACGCTAGGGAACTAGCACATTTTCGTTCCTGCTAACTTAATTTATGGAATGATCTACTATGGACTATTTAGTACGTATCTGTTCCGTTTTTGGCTCATGCAATACGTAAATCTAAGGATAGACTCGTGTAAAATCAGAACGACACGACATATCTTACATTGACGGAATTTAGAATTTGGTATGGATAGAGATTCACGTGAATGCTCATGTTAAAGTCTATTCCGCGCAATAATTGATCGTCGAAAGTTGAGCTCGTTACTGACAGATCTTAATAGAAGATGTGCTAACTATATTGAATCGTGCCTGGTATTATGATACCAGCGGTGCGTGAACCTGATACGCTCTTCGGCGGTGCTTCAGGTTGCGAATTGTACGGTGCGCGGTGGCTGCAATCTCGCGCTCGCAGGAATAGCAGCTTGCGGCAAAGGCCGCAGCCGCGTTTACAGAGGTTATAAGAGGGAAGAGACAGGTGCATAAACTAGGTATAAGTTCTGGTTAACTTCAACACCGTCGGGCTTCAGTCAGAAGTTGCGAGCGATAGAGCCATAGAACCGAAAGGAGGTAATGGATAAATGGGCGTGAAGAGAACTTAAACAAAGTGACGCGCCCCAATGAATTGCATTGTTCACAACAGCGAGAATTCATCGACTAGTACATTGACATTTCGTTCGGAATATTTACGCGAATAAAAAAAAGTAACAATAAATCGATATATTACGTAAATCAAATTATTTAATAATACGATCCAATTGTGACGAGTTACAAGAACGGGGATTTATTGGTTTAGTATATCGATTAATTCGCGACTTTGTAACGAGTTTTCGCCACAAGGAGGATCTGACTGGCGGATGGACCCGACACTTGGTTTAATAGAGCCCCATGTAATCGAGGAAGGTCACCGTTGCCTCGTCGCAATGGGCTTGCTTGTTAGAAATGCAATTATGCGAAGATCCACGTTAAGTTTTAATCCGATCCACTTTTATACTTGCGGAGAGTTTGCGTCCTGCGCGGAAAGCTTCTTAGTGATAATGCGATATCTTAAGAGGATAGGAGTGGCATTAACTGCGCCAGCCAAGGAGCGGAGAGGACCACGAAGACCGGATCGAAGGTCGAAGTTAAGATGCAGCGGCGCTCGAGTATCACGTATATAGAAGATAACGGTAGCTAAACCACGCGCACTCCATCGTAACTTACAAACCACTCTAGCGAATAGTGCTCTCTTAATTATCAAACTTTAGACCGCTCCTAATTTCTATCCTTATATCCATGGTCTATTCAGTAATACGATGGTATGCGCGTGCCAATGTACACCCCCAAGAGCTACCTATAATAGCATAGATTTTCCACAACACCATGCTAAAGTATTGGAATATTTAATCTGCATATTTACTACACGTGCAGCCGTGTTAAATCAATAAACTAAAAATTTTACATAATAATTAATTTCAGTTCCTAATGTCATACACATTTTCGTAAAATTAATTAAAATAGACATTAATTACGTACATTTTAATTAGGTTAATGTTCATTTAATTTAACGTTCATTAAATTAAATTAAACTTTGAGTGTCTATATAAGTTTTAAAATATGTTGTTTATTACACGCATATTATATTAATAAGATAGCGATAATGTAAACATAATTATTGATAATGATGATCAGTGAAATATTAATTTCACGATACTGTTACATGCGCATATGTTGCATCTGCGTTGAAAACGAAATCAATAAATGTATTTAGTACAATGGCATTACCATCAGTCCAATTACCCGAGGACTAATGGAAAGGAAATGCCAAGATTAAGCAAGTGGACAGTTGAGGTGGTATGGTGGAAAACAAGAAGATAGAGGTCTACAAATATCCCGCAGTGAAATTCCATAAGCCTCATCCATCTTGGTTATTGACCTTAATTCAAGACCAGCCAGTCGGCATTAAGATGATTTCCACAGAGAATCGATATTTTCCAGTGCTACGTCCACTGGGCGAAGGATAGAATGATGGAAACGGTGCTAGCTGCATGAAGCGATATTATTAAAGTGGTTACAGTTGTTTAATAGTCCGAGAAATGTCATTCCTAAAATAATCAGAGGAAGTGCTCGAATAGAAAATTAAAAGACAAAAGGAGAGACATAATATGCACAAAGACGCACGTCCGCGCAGTAATAAATGTAAAATGATATTTTTAAAGAACGCTACACCCACGTAACCGTAAAAAAATTGAAGAAACGTTTACAGTATTGCAATCGTTCTATATGCTGTCCAGAAAGGGATATAATTCATTTTTGTTTTGCGGTAAAAGTTTGCTACCGCATATTTATTTGACAAGACCGCCTATCGATATCCGTCTTCAAAATCTTGTGCGATGATGTATTGGTCAAGGATAGGAACACTAAAAGGATTGATCGTTTATGATTCACTTCGAAGACTTGCCTGTTATTTTCGGAGGAATAGAGAAGCTACCGTATTTATTCACTCATGGATTTTTGCAAGTGATTCGAGTTACATTTCATTGTTCACATTGCAAGAAGTAAATTGTCTGCAGCGGGAGAAAGTATAATACATGAAACGTACAATGGAAAATGCGGAGCGATAACAGCGTATCTTTCGCTGTTTGTATTGGACAACGTAAACATATTATATTACTGTGATACATCATTTTAAAGCGATTGTTAATTAAGAAAGCATATATTTTGCGAAAATGACAGGAGATAAAATATCCAATAACGTTTGCATGGCCGTATCTCCTTCCCCGGGTGAGAAAGTGCCTCGATGCACTTCGATTTATCATATATCTACGCGTTGAAATAGGGACCGGGGGATGAAGAGATCGTGGAAACCGGGCAGGTGGGCAATTTCCGTGGTAGCCGTCTACCGTGATATACCCGTCTCTTTCCGGCCGTACCGCATTTACACGCGGCACGATGGAAATTTTGTGTTTCCTACATGTCCCTGCATTTTTGTAGCGTTTTTATGCTCGTCCTTTCCCCCGATGGAAACGTAAATAACCCGTCATCGATTGCTCACCCTCCGCCTTGAGGTTTCATTCTGGCACGCCTCGTCAAACGGCGCGAGATGAATTGTTGATTATTACCATCCACGAATATACCGAGCCGCGGTCGTATCATCTATTTTCAAACGCCGTTCCATTTAGACACATTTGCATGCTGCATAATTTAGCTCCGCGTCCATTTCACGTTAAATTTTTCAAGCTTTAGATCTAAAATTTAATTTTTTACGTACGGTGGCACAAGCGTACCTGCGATGTATCATGTCTATAGGTAAAACGACACAACATAACAAAGGTATCTAAAACAACCAGGTTTTAACAGATTCGTGAGATATGTAAGATAAATCTAACATCTATTATGCGCTAATATAAGACCGCGGACCTACTAACGGTAATAAATTGTGATTTCAATTTTTTTATAATATAGTTTAAGATATATTTGCTTGAAAAAAAGTCATGATAATGGATAAAAGTCGCGGGCTGCGCGAATCTCGTCCGGCGAGTTTTGGAAACAATCTGTTTTCGAAATCCGGCGTAATGTTACGCTGTTTCTCGAAGTAGTGTGAGTCGCTCGGTCGCCCATTCGACCAACGAGGTTGGGGAAGAGATTGATCTACGGCGGAAGTTGCGCGCGTGAATTTGAGGACATTATCTGATCGCATGGAGAAAGTAATTTATGGGAGTAGTTTAGCCGTGTGCGATAAAACAAATTCCACGCGGAAGAATGAACCGAAGAGCGCGAGCAAATTCTCGAGATTCCCGGAATCCTTTATTCCGGGTCCTCCATTTTAATAGCTTTAATTAATCGGATATAGTCTTCAGGCATCAACGATTGATCGCATTGTTATCAAACCTAATTAAATTCTTTGCCGTTTCAGCAATATAATTGCGCGATATTTCAGCAATACAGACATTACAGAATAGCAAAGCTGTGCAGCTTCTGTGAAGCTGACGCAGGGCATTTTTTTAATTTTGGAAATTACCAATAGAATTCTGCTTGGTTTTTTTTCAAAAAACGTTAGCATTTCTGATATGTTTCAAAAAAAGTTTTGGTGATTAAATGCCAAAAATAGATATGCAAAGATATAGAGTGCGCGTTTTTATTTTATAAGAATATGTTTATTTTAATCAAAATGTATGTGAAATGCTTCTTGACAAAGCTCGCTATTTAGAGCCCATACAAAATATTAGATTTTCCAAGTATTTAACTCGTGGAAGTAAATTAAAAATTGATCGTCAAAATACATCGCAATTAAAATACAAGTTGAAATTAAAAAATTAATAATTAAGTAATAATACTAAAGACGCTACATACATACATA